TGCTGGCCGGATTTTAGGAGTCGTTGGGTAGTTCTCATATTACCGAGCTTATAAACTTGGTGATGATGAAGCGTTTTAGGGTGTTCAAAACGCGTATTCCTAGAGGAAAAGTGAAGTGGAGGAAAGTGAAGTCATCCTGAATTCATTAGTAATTTATGCTATTTTTAGCAGTAGGGTTATTTTACTCCTACGTTTCATTTGTATTGCGATGGCAGCTAAATGTCAAGGAATGAGTGAAGTCAAACCCATAATCCATTCCCCATAACACATTCTTTTGGAAAATATTAATTCTTTCCAACCATGATGTACATTGTCGCCAATGGGTTAGTAAAGTAGCAGAAGTTGTCCATTGCCTTTCGTCACCCTTTGCCATCCATCTCTCTTATATGGACGTGATTTCCTTCACCCCTGTCCAAAGTATGACCCGTTCCTTCTAAATTCGCAGCAACTGAAACCACTTTTACCTGGACCTCACAAACTATCGAAGGTGTGTCTACCGTCCGAGAAACCACATCTTTATTTTTTTAGATAAACCATGGGGTTTATTCTCAGCAAAAATGAGATTTATCGTAAGCACATTCTTGGCTCGGGTACCTCGTTTGGTGTATGATCATCGACTGAATTAGGTTTGTGCTGTCACTATACGAGGTGATAATTTGACGGCTAATTTAGTAGATATCTGTGGTACTAACATATATTAACGAATATTTATTGTATTTTGGCTCATTAATTCACTTTTTGCCTTCTTTTGTCCCCAGAGTGAGTGTCAATAATGGACTCCCGCCAGCATCGGTTCTTTGCACTTCAAGCAACAAGTTACCCATCTTCATAGATGTAAACAGTCCCAAGGTTACGGAGGCCTTTGAGGGCCAACGTCAGTGCCTTCTCTCGTCGTCGTCACCTCCACTTGTTCAGACCCGAGAATCGCCCCCTCCGGCCTACTTTCTATCTACAGTTGCTTCTACCAGGAAATCTGTGGGGTAAAACTTTCCTGTACTTTTTTAAATTTTTTTTTTGCATAATCAATATTTTGCTTCTAAAATGTTCGTCTATGTTTCAAGCTGTTGTTTAAACCTAAGTCAGTACTCATGTAATCCCAAAAAGTACTCGAAAATAACTCCATTTTCTACCAAAAACACTGATAGCCGTTGTCCTTTTAAGCCATGTCACGTGGATGCTAACAAGAGATTCGATTTCGTTGCTCCCAGCTGGTGTATCGTATAGGTTTTCGCAGAAGTTGCTTTCATTGAGAAACATGATATTCAGTTTAGAAACTTTATGAATAGATGCTAAAATAAAAGACGTCAAATTTTTACAGAATTTCTCAATGCAATGAGATCTGGGAAATTGGAAAGGAGGTTTAACAAGTCAATTTAAGAGATGGAGACTTTTTTATGTTAGCAGCACAAGACTAGCTTTTCTAAGTCAGTAATGTAAAAAAATGTGATTTTATCACAACACAGCGCCTCTTTTTTGAAAATGGATGGAGCCGGACTTAGAAACTCATTAACTGCGACGCATTCAGTCCTAACCGCTGTATACTCATCGAAATACTTTAATTTTGAATGTGCCGCCTTCTTGCTTAATGATATTAGACAACTGGCCTCTGTATTGATCCCACTTCCGGTAGTTGTAGCAAGTTGGCAATTTCATGAAGTCTCCAAACCACTGTTATTGCATGCAGCAAATTGAAAAAGCAATACTCGAGCCACGTAGAACTCCTTTTGGAATTTACCAAAGTATTTAGTCGAAGGATGCGAGAGTCTCTTGTATTGGTATTTACCTATTTTACCATTTACTCTTTGCAGGACCTCTCTGCATCCTCTTCGTCGAGTGGCTCGTTTCTTAGCAACTCATCTTCTTTCCTCACCTCTGACTAAGCAGCAACAACTCCGTCATCGCTACTATACCTCTTTCTTTGGTGGCTTAAAACACCATCAACAACATCGCGAATCCAAACACCGTTTAAAGCCTAGACCACGACGTTTGCACAAAACATCGCCGTTGGCAACAGCTACAGGAACTGCGGCAACATCAGTGATAAGGCGTCATCATCGTCATCGTGGTTACCACCGCGTCGGCGTGTTGGGAAAAACGCTGGAGTTGAACCACGAGGGCGTTATTATGTCTTCTAGGTTGGGGACACCAACGATTGGGGCAGAACTGTCACCAGTTCCGTCGTCTCATCCACCACCGCTGTCTGGGAGCGTGACGTCGCATCGGTGCGCCTCTAACTCAGTCTCTGAATCTTATAGCGGAGGAATTCACCGCGCTTCTCTTCGACATACTCGTGTGCATAGTGTACGTGTCACCGTCGAACCACAGGTAATGCTGAAAACGTTGGTTTCTATTTTTTTGTCTCCCCTCATGTGGCCTCAATGTCATCTAGACTTATAAATGCATTGATTTAATTGCCACACATTTCTGTGCAAATCGTAAAAGTATACTTTGCGATTTTTAAGTCGGAAAAGCTGACGGTGATTGATCAAAGTTCCTTTTTCCTTTCTGTTTCAAAGGTATCAACCATGGGTGGTTAGGGTAGCTCTGAGACTGAAGGTCTTTTAGGTCAAGAATGCGATTATTCAATCTATTACGTTGACGCATTTAAGATGGCTTATTGTCCCCTAGGACAAAAGGCTAGATGTTTGCCCCCAGAAATGTTTCAATGGCTGCCTTTGTTATGGATATTTTTGAGGTTTTTACTATTTAAATCCACTTGATACAATATTATTATTTCTTGGAACTCATTCTGCAATGGGCGCGTCAGTAAGTTCAGGAGAGTTTTAAGTGTTTCCACATCATTGGTACTATACCTTCTCGATAAGATCTGATATTCCGTCCGACACTTGGAAAGGTTCTACAATATGTGAGAAAAAGTGCAAAATTAAGGTGAAGCGCTTTAGTGCAAGAAACTACAAAATTCATCGGTCACATATATCTCAAAAGACAGCGTATTTTAAATATATTGTTTTCGGCTCTCTTATCTTAAGCTAAAGGTATGGCTAAAATATTTTCTGCTTTTGTATTTGCCCTAACGACTCATGGGAAGTGGCGTCGCATTCAAAGCGATTCTGATTGTTCCATATTCCTATCTTCCTCAGGCACAGTATCACACTGAACGTGACGCGGCGAGTTGTGAGGCCCTTCACAATGCGCACCTACACAGCATTGGGTCAAAGAATTCACTACCCCGAACGAACTCTCTTCCCACTCCGTTAAAGTCAGTGTCTGCTGATGTCGACGTCACCGTCACCGTAGCAGCGGTTGCTGCTTCCTTGTGGAGGTGTCGCTCCTTCAGTTCGGCACCAACGATTTGTTCACCCATCTCACGTCTCACCGACACAATTTCCTCTTCCTCACCTTCACTTTCTCTCCCGCCTGTCTAAATTCGTTACCCCATTCATCAACTCCCTTGTTTCTTTTTTCTACACGCCGCCGCTTCCTACTTTTCCGTCTGCCTGTCTGCTTTACCCTTCCTCGTATAAGTCTGACCAGGCGGGAAAATGCACTTTTGTGTGAACTTTTTGTCGTGCAGACTAAAGTACAATCATGTGCTTTTAAATTCGCCTTTCAAATATTTCTCGTCTATTTGACTGTTTTTACTCATGTTAGGCGGTTCTATATTAGATTTCTCAATCTACAACTTCATCTGTTCTAGCAATAAGTTTTCCTCCGTGCAGCGTTGCGGTATGGGTCCAACGTGAATAACACTATTCCCATTGAAAGTCGACTGTAATTTTATCGATTCAGCCAGACGAGTCTCCTGACGAGGGAATGCATGGATGCCCACCCATGAATTAAAATTAATCGCTTAGCGGATTTAAATGTCCCTTCAATCCTTTGTGGACCTTCGCTTAGAACTTGTACTATTTCTGGGTGAAAGTGTGCAGTCACTGATGTTTGCATTATTGGAGAATCGTTCTACTTAGGGAGACAACACCTGTTTCAGCTTACACTTTTCTCAACATGACTGTTCTGGTGTCAAACCATCTAAACTGCCATTGTCTTGCTTATAACGTTTTGAACCAAACAAGGTTCAGGTTAAATATCGAATTAACAGTTGGTTGAATAGTCGCGACATCGCCTTGGACCCGTGGTAAATGAAAACGATATAACGTAATGTGATGCTTTAGTATTTGGTCGTTCGTTCATTGCATGGAACTAGAGAACGGGTGTGGGGAATCAAGCTATGGTCGCGATGGAGATGGAGCTATTGACTATTCCAACCCTTTTTGCTACTGCAACGTCCACATTTGTCATTCAACTGACGACTTAAGTTAAAAAACATCTTAGTGAAAGGATACGGTATCTGAGCTAGTAATTATTACGATAATTATATGTGGTGTTATGAGCATTGCTTCCCATTGAACTGTTAGTGGCCTTGAAAGTGTCAATTCATTGAAGCAAAATTTTGCTGCGATTGACGTGACCTGAACCCGATGACGGTGTTTCAGGCTGGAATACGGCTTTTGATTACATTCTTAAAGCAAATATGCAATCAAGTTCATTAGAGTTTCTAAACATTGGATTTTAGAATCGGCAAAGTACCTATAAAACTGAAGCTTGGTCTTATCGTTTCGTATGCTGTTCACTTGCATCGACTAGTAAGGAAGATGCTTAATGTAACACATTCTGGTCATTTATACAGTCTTCTGGCTTAGGACAATTTTTTGATCCCTGAAGCATTGTGAGCAATAAATGGAAGCATTTCGCTCAAGGGAATAGGCTTGCAGAACCCTCCGATTACAATATCCATTTTCCGACACGCTCGCATTACGATCAACTTTGAATCCTTTGCTGCACAGGTAAAACGATGTGAATTCGTTGTTCTTGTGCCTTCTATGTCAAATAAATTTCCTTAGGGCAATCACACACCTCTCATTTTAGCCGCAGGGAAGAGGAGAAATCGCTACAGGAGGCTCACTCGAATGCAGACATGATACTTGGCTGAGAACAATATGTTTTATCGAGTATTCAGGCATAACTGGGAGAAGAAGTACCAAATCCTAACAAACATCAGAAGTAAATGCATTACCTAGCTTTAGTGATCGAAATTAGTCTGACGAACTGCATTTGGCAGTGATCAAAACGCAGATATGGACTACAATCAGCTCATCGTGTGCTGGCAGCCACTAATCAACTTCTCGTGGTGTCTGAGCACAAAATGAGAATAGTTTAGGGGAACATATTTAAGAGCGTTATCATAAAAGGTCGCTAGAAGTGATACATTATCAAATTAACCGTTCTGTGACTTGAAATGACAGGCATGCCTATCCTGCATAGCTCTTCGCTGCTTCAAATCGAATAAATCAGAATGAATTGTTGAAGGATTAGCTTACGAGTTGATAACCCTAGTAACAACGTTGATGTCTTTCGAAGGCTCTAAGAATGCGCCGTGGCACTGAACTTGGATCACACGAAGCTAAGTCAAAGAGGCAACAGATGCTACCCGTGGGATGTTCTTTTGATCTCCCAACGGCATTTTAAATCTCCTCCGAAAGGAAAAGTGATTCGGAAAGTGGTGCAGTAAGGACACGTGAAGCAGCAATGCTTTGGTGCTTCAATAATTTTACGCGGTAATTTCTTCTATCCAAATTCCTCTTACACATCAAGTAAATTTAACTCTATTTAAAAGTTGTTACCACTTATCCTTTTCTTCCATTAAGCAGCTTTACCTTTCTTGGGTGTAAACGATTGTTATTTCACCTATCAATGAGCTGAAAGCGTGATAGAAATTACATCTTCAAATACCTTAAAAATATCTCTTTAATCGTCATTGATGAATATAAAAGCAACTTAAAAGGGACCAAATTTACATTAATAGCCTTTACAAAATGTGCCGCGAAGATCACACTAAGATTCTGTTGACATAACCGGTATGGACTGGAGGGAAGGACGGATTTATGTCACCGTTCTGATGGCGCATGACCTCAGGCAAAACGAGGTCAGCCCTTAATGTTTCTCCAAACGATGACCAAACGGAATTGGACCGCTCTCCTCCCTTCCATTGCAACTGCCAACTGCTTATGAGCCATTTTTTAAAATTATAAAAATATTGTAGGGTCCTACCGATTATCTGATATTTCACTAATTTGGATTTCAACGCATCACTTGCCACCATAATTCGTGCGTTTAGCCAGCAGCAACAAAGCAGGAAAAAGAATGCTATAGTTAGTGCAAATCAAGATACACAGCCAAAAGCTGGTATTTTAAACTCCCTTGTTTCACTGCTGTGATTCCAGATGACTTTGAAGCCTGCCGCTGAAGGACAGATGAATGATGGATGACAGATAGCTTAAGTGATTTCTGAATCCCAACTTTTCCTTTTATTTCGTTTAACATGATTCAAAGTTCCAATTCTAAACTGCAGATTCAGCTCAACAAGGAGGCCAATTCGCGAGGCACTAACAGTGGATATGGATTCGATTCGCATCATCTAACGAAGCAAATTTGCGGCATGCTAAGACATACCATTTGGCTGCTGACAATTGACAATTACCAATTGAGTTGCCTTAATTAATGGTGTAGGGGAGGTCAGAATATCTGAAAAGCTACAGCAAGGAAGTTAAATCATTTTAAGAATATGGTGTAGTGATTCTCAAACCCTAATGTAGTGTTAATCACGGAGACTTCGATGCAAAGTTTTACTCCTAACCTAGACCCATAGTAATCGGATATGTTGACTTCAACGGACTCGACTTTCACTTGTGATGTTTGCTTTAGTACGATGAAATATTAATGAAAGCGTCAACGCATAAATTGCGTTGATTAAATAATGCGCAAATTAAGTGTACTTCCAAAGCACCACACTGACACACTCGTTCTCCCATTCTTGCTTTTCTAGTCTGACCTAACAACTGATAGTATGGCGACTAAAGTCGCTAAGAGGAGACCCCCTTCAGAAGTACCCCAGAAGAAGGATCCAGAGCCTTGTCTAGCCGCTGCACTGTCACCGTTTAAATATTAGGACGTATCAATGCGATCCAACTTAGTAGTTTTTTCCAGAAAAAAGCATAACTTCCATATGGGCTCAAAGGTCCAAAATTTCAATAAAGGCTACTAACGCCGGGGTAGAAGTGACCAGATCAGTGCAATATGGCCGTCAAATTCACTTGAAGGGATAATTTGAGCGCTGTACTCCATCTGAGCCAAATTCTAGTCTTTCAGATTGTCATTCATCTCGACTATACTACATAAAAGCACACTTCCTGTTATCAACATTACATTTTATCAAAGGAAGAGAGTGTCAGAAAAACTTAAATAGGAATCCCAAAACGGTTTTAAATCGAAAGAACAAGAAAATGCATCCAAGAGCATATTACATGATGATACTGCCGATACTGCTCACAAATGGTGCTTTGATGTGAGGAGATACAAATTTTGTGACACTGCTAGGCAGCTCCCCTCCTGCCAGATTTGGAAAACGTCATCGTCTAAGCTTTTGACCACAAGTGAATTGGAAGGTGAACGGGAAAGCAAACTAACGTGCAATTTGCAAGCACATTTTATAAATTCCTGAAAAATTGTGAGTAGTGCGCAAAACGCCTTCCCCTACTCCCATTCACCGATGCGGTGGAAGCGTGACTAC